GTGTGTGTGTTTGTAGTCTAGTTGAGATGGCAGCTAAGAGTATCCAGCAGGAGTTGCAGCACAGGAAGTGCCAGGAGGACGCCTGGAACAACAGTTCCATTGACCTGGTCAGAGCCTCAGATGTAAGTTCATTTATACACTGTTCACTCAAGATATGGCCTGAACTTCAGCACATATAATGTCAAGATTGTCGCAGAGCTCCCAAATAAAAAATGTTGTTTTGATTCAGCTTAAAGCAAACTCAAATCCTCCCCATGTTCATATTATTTCTACAATTATTTCTTATTTGTTGCAATGAGTATCTTTTTTCTCATCCATCAGTTTTTTTTTTTCTTTCTCCAGGCCCACTGTCACTATGTCGTAGTGAAGCTCTTTACTGACAAGCTGGGGGAGATCGGTGACACAGCGATACACTCGGTGCTGTCCACCCTGGCTCTGCTGTACGCCCTGCATGGCATCAAAAACAACTCTGGAGACTTCCTACAGGTCAGAAAAATCATCACGTGGAGAAACAATATGGTCCCGATCAGTGGTGATGTGGGTTATTTACGGTTGTTATTAGCGCAGCTGCAAACATGTAACCTGATCTTTAGTATCTTCTGTTCCAGTCTTACACAGATTGCAGGGCTCACACACAACACACAACACACACGCACAGAAAAGAGACTTCTGAAGTGAAAATAACAAGCAATTGTTGCCCAGGTTTTATGTGGAGCAACATTTGGTTATAAAGAAGTCTCCTGATGTTCACCACTGTTTTGGAATGAGCAAAGGCAACACTTTAAAAAAACAACATTTTTTAAATAAACAAGTGCCGTGTGGCAGATCTAATTAATGCGGATGTTAGGAGTGGCTCATTGTTTTGGAAACGTAACCAATACATATTTAAAGAAATCGGCTGCCCTACAGCTGTCATTCAGAAGTTCCCGACCTCAGTTCCCTCTTTGTCTCGGAGCAAAGAAAATGGGTTCTTTGTTTGTAGGATTTGTATTCCTGCATGGCTGGTGGCCTTGTTGCGGATTAAGAAAGGACAATTGAGCTTGTTTTATTAGTTTAGCTTTATATATTTAGTAAAGTATAAAATGTCATGCCTCGCTGTCTCTCCTGTCTGTTCCCTCTCAGTTAGGGTAGAAGAGAGACATCCTGCAAAACGTTTTCATCCTCATCTCCATCTGTTTTGTTCCAGGCTGGTCTGCTGAGTGTTCCCCAGGTGCTGCAGGTTTCTGTTCGTGTCAAGGAGCTGCTGTCTCAGCTGAGGCCCAACGCTGTGGCACTGGTGGACTCCTTTGACGTCAACGACAAGAGGCTGAATTCAGTCCTGGGAAGATATGATGGGAACGTCTATGAGCACTTGTTCGAGTGGGCTCGTAGCTCACCACTAAACGCCACAGAGGTCAGTCAGGGTCACAGGGGTGAAATGAGAGTAATGTCACGGCACAGGTGATACTCATAACATTGTTTGTTAGATCTAATGGATTGAATTACCGCTACCTAGCAGAACTGTTGGTTTCAGTTCATTTTGGTTAGCAGATTGACACAGACAGAAAGGGAACCAATGTACTTCAGGGATGAGGGTTATCAATTGCTTTGTAATCATTCTAAATTAAATGTTGCTCTTTCTATTCATCCATAACGGCTTCCTTTGTGCAGGACTTAACAAACGCTTCATTCCTTCTTCCTTTCTCAGGTCCATGAATCGTTCCACAAATACCTGAAGCCCCTGCGGTCTCAACTGTGAGCTGACCCCCCTTGCACCGTGATTCCTGGCTGCGACCTTTCAACTCTACGGATAGAGGCCCAACCTGAACCACAAAATCATATCAAATGTACCAATCTGAAGGAATGTAGCATTCCCTTCTCCAATCTGTCTATATGTGGTCGGGTTTGGAGCGGTCTACATTGGTCTCTTTATTAATGGGGGAAATTACAGGGGGCTGTTTTATAGTTACAGTGGAGAATGGTAGGAAAACCGGAAATCTCTATCTAAAAAATCTAATCAAGATCCAAAACAATAGCTTTAATAATACTGAAACAATCAAGTATTTGTAGTTTTAGATGTTTTCTGCAGAGACATTCCACTATGAAGTTTCTTTCTTATTAATTCATTTTGCCTCATCTTTCTTCGCTTTCTGCCGTGTGCCTGATGGCTTCTTTGTGATAGCCTGCCAAGATGGAAAGACCGTCGCTCTCTTTCTTTCTAACAAGAACAGAATGTTATGAATGTTATGTAATGTTAGAGCGTTTTAGGCTGGGAACAGACCAACTGCTAAATCAGTTTTAGTTGTTTCCCCTGACAACAAGGACCATATTTGAAATGGCATGTAATTCATTCTTTCATTGTTATGACACATTCATTTATCCATCAAATGTATCCTTTGCTGTAATCTTTTCTTCTTCACAAATCTGTGGCGACAAAATGTAATGGTGTAATGTGACTGACCTAAACGACAGTCATTGAGTTTTCTCTGTATAAAAAACCCCAGAAAATTGCAGCAGAGGTGCAACAGTAACATCTAGTGAAGATATACAAATAGTCCCCGATAAAATACTGTAACGAAACCATTTCAATCAAACCGCTGCATTTACATCAAGTTCAACTGTGCTTTAAAGGAGCAAGAATTTGAATTACATTTCCTTAACAGTCACTGTTTTACGCTATTAAACAGATCTTCTGAGCCTTAATTTGATACCTTACCCAATGTCTATGCTTTACACATCAATTAGCCTGTAGTTCCTTTTGTAGAGATAATTGACGGCGATCAGATTTCATGTCTGTCACAATTGTCTTCATTGCCTTTACCCCAACACTTGTCACATCCCTTGCTGCTGCTAGGTACCTTTACTCCGTGAATAGAAGCTGAGCTCAATAGAGTGCTGCAGGAATGAGTCATAAAACCTGTAAATTAGTTAGCATTGTTCAACTTCTGGTTCCCTTTTTTGTGGAATTCAGTGGGTTTTGAATGTCTGAAAGAAAAAGTCTGTGGTTAACACAAGCTTAGGAGTTTTTAACAGCTTGCCTTACGACATAAAAATACATCATTGTCCGGGAAACCAGGGCGATACTAACTTCCGTGGTTGGACTACAAACGTATGTCATCCCTGCTGCACTTTATAGAGCGAAGAGATTTACGAAGACTTTCTGGAAATGAACCACTAAGGGGGGGATTTGTTCTAATTTCCTCCATTTCTGATCTTTGGCGGCTCTCTGTTGAGCTGTGTGTTTGATCATTAGAATGAATGAATCTACATGTTTTGGATTTCTTTGAGGGACAGAAAGCAGCTAATGCGAGGTGTCAAAGCACCTGTGAGGGCAGGTACTTTAATTGTATTGAATGTCTGAAGAAGCAACATATGCACTGTATATGTGAATTAAAAGTGTCCCTCCCTGCTGTGTGGGGTTGATCATATTATTAAGAAGGATAAAAGCCCCAGCCAACATCTACATTGCCTATTTTTCTAGTTTTTAACCAAGCATGTTTCAAACTTTAAATAAATCTATTGTTTATGTTCCAATGTTCAACTTCTGCTGACTCTATTTTTCTGGTTGATGTATGATGAAATATTTGATAACTGGATCTTTTTAAAACTTATTTAGAAAAATGCTTTCCTATCTGTCATTATGGTTTCTGACACAAAAACAGTTTTAGTAAACACTTTGATTAACTGACTTGACCAGAAGAAATGTTTAATATTTCTTAGAATTGGTGAATTTATTTCAACCTGCAGTAGATCATTTTTTTTTCAGGGATAAATCAAATACAACAGTATAAATAGTGGATACTAAGGCTGTGGAATAATTTATAGTGACTGTATTGAGGCGATGATGAAAAGGATCGTTTTAATCAAAAGCCTGATTTATTGTAAAGATGATTTGTGAGTTAATTATGTGCCTGAGGAAGTTATATTTTCCTAATGTAATAAATTGATCGTGTTCTCACAAGAGTCATAGTATTTCCAATTTGTATTTATTTGACTTTTAATCCGTTAACTTCTGCTGTAAGGAAAAGACTATCAATTTATAATGACTTAGTGATGTTTTATTGCATAATAATGATTTTAAACAATATGATTTTAATGGTTGGTACATAATTTTACTTGTAAGTTATATTAATAAAACACTAAATAATCGATGTGTTTTTTGTCTTTATCCTGTGTTTAACCAGCTTGAACTGTATTCAATTCAAATGTAGTCAAAAAAATCAGTTGCTGAAATTGAGACACCACATTTCAAAATAACCATTTCTTAACATGGTTTTATTCTGTAGCTTTAATCATTTATCGTCATTGTTTGTTTCCGTACTAAGGTCTATGACATTGGGAGGCAAGTGCAAAGTGAGTAACCCTGCTGTCCATCGAAGCCAGCCACATGCATTACAGATACACTCGTAAAAAAAACTCTTTGCAAGAGTTAATCACTAACTATGACGACCGTTAGCAGGCTCCTGTAGTTTCCACACTGCCAACTGCTGGAGGGTTGGTCCTGCATTCAAATATGTTATTCAAGTAGAAGTATTGGCATCAACATATACTTATTGTACTTATGAAAATTGGCCCATTTCAGAATAATATATTATCTGTTTTGATTATAATTATTGATGCATAATTGTGTTTACCAAAGCTTGTAAAAGATGCAGCTAGATTAGGTTGTATTCTTCAGGGTAGCTTGTGAATTTACTCTAGGTTTATATAAAGTCTTATTTAAGTGTTGATTATATCTAACATCATTATTCCACAGCTGCAAACTAACTAAAAGTATGACATAAATGTAGTGGAGTAAAAGTACACGGTTTACCTCTGAATTGTAGTGGGATAGAAGTCCAAAGTAAAATGGAAATACTCAAGTAAAGTACAAGTATCTCAAAATTGAGATAAGTAAATGTTTAGTAACTTCCCACCTCCTGTAGTTTCCACACGCGGCTCACTAGACTCGGCCCAGCTCGAGCCCTCTGTGGATCGGTCGTAGCTCCGCCCCCCTGCTGCTCCACGGAGCTGCAGTCAGGATGTTGGGAGAGTGAAAGAGGGAAGTAGTCTTCAGACGCTGGTGGACAGCAGTTTACAGTAACGTTGCATTTCGGATATTAACCTTTCTGCTGAATGAATTACAACCCGGTTACTTCTTCTTGGAGGTGAGTGAATGATTCTTAAAGGTGGTCTTGGGACGTTAAAAGTTACTTAAAGTGTTTGAGTCAACGGCCATTATCGAGTTTTTACAATGAAAACATATTCAATATCTCAAAATGACCGTTCATAAGTAGCGGGAGAGATTAATTTTAAGTATAATATTTTAGCCAAAGCTGTTTTTAAAGGGCAGAAAAGACACTAAATAACATTTAACACTGTCAGTTTACAGCGGTGGTTTTCATCTAACGAGCCGCTGAAAGCATGCCTCGACAAGCCCTTTGTTGCTCAGCCCGCCGGGACAAATGTACACGAATACCACGATTCATCTCACATTTCCCTCAGTAATCCCAGTGAAGTTATATGGTATTCACCATGTGCCGAAAAATATATGTGTTGCTACACCCCCTCCCATTTGTTTATCAGACACCGTAGGAGGGAGTGTTCTCACACTGTGTTTAACGGGGAATGACTGACACTGACACTTTCTGAATTATGCCTGAAACATTTTTTGTACTGGCTACTTGGCTAATAAAATTCAATTCGGGTAAATACAAAAAGAAAAAGCAGATTTAGTTTAATGATGTGTAATATTAAAACACGCTTAAATAAGACTTTAGTTACACTAACCAACAACCAAATCCACAAGCTACCCTGCAAAATAAAAGGTAAATAAAACTAGCCGCACCTTTATAAGCATTGATAACACTTTAATGCTGAACATATTAAATATATATTATTCTGAAATGGGGCAATCTGCAGAATGAGTACTTTTACTTTTGGTTCTTTAAGTATATTTTGATGCTACTACTTTTGTACTTTTGCTTGACCAACATTTTGATTGCAGGACTTTTCTTGTAACAGAGTATTTCTACAGCCTAGCACGTTTTTCACACAAGTACAAGATCTGAGAACTTTGTCCACCACTGCAGTCTAGTCATTTAATTGCTGCTTAAAAGTTACTGCAGGTACACAATGTAGAAATAACTTTTCATTTATTTGTCAGTCCCCCAATGCCTCTCCACCTTCTGCAGAGAGTTACATAATTCTGTATGTGTTTTTCTATATAAGTTCTCAGAATGGTCTCATTAGAACGAACCATATCAGATTTGTGTCTGACTCGAAAATGTGTATCAGTCATACAGTCTATGTCCTTCATTTGGAAATGGAAACACCTGCTTTGGTAGTAGATGATGAATTATCAGTTCATTTTAAAACTGTGCCAACTGGGGGAAAAAGTAGGTCAGTTTGTACTTTTAAGTTCACGCAGATGTTGATGTTGTAGTTGATGTACTCTAGGTGTATGTGCAATTTAAACGAGTGATGTTCAGATACTTGCCCCATACATAATAAATACCAAAGTGGGCAGTGTGGAGGACATTACCAATAAAAATGCAGTGTTTTCTTCATCATATTTACTTTTTTCATTAGTTTGTTTAACAGTGATAGTAGTCTTTTATTCTAGTAACTCTCCATACACGGAGGAGCAGAAGACACTGGTGAAGAAGGTGCTAGTCACACATTGCAAATGAATAAAGCCATATCTTGTTAGATAACAGTTTGGTGGGAAACATTACAACTGTGAACAAAGGCAGTGTTACTGTACACAGATCAGTTTCATTATTACAATTCCTTTTTACGGACCATTTTTAGTTTATAAAACAGTAACATAACAATTGTGTTGTGTATTTAATAACACTTTAACATTTATACATACTAGTCTATTAACTACATTGTTTATAATGACCATTTTATTTTTTATAAAGTATTTCACAAGTCCTTTTTGCAATCTCAATTTGAATCTTATACTTTCACTATATGGTAGTATACATGAAAACTGCCAATTAAACCAACAATTAAATATGCAGACTAAATATTTAGCTTATGTTGCGGTAGTTTTTATATTACCTTTTACTTGTAGGGCATAAACTTAGTTTAGTGTCATAGATTAATTCCCAACATTATTATATCATTATAAAGTGCCCATCTAATAACCATGCATTACATTTACTGTATGTTCAAACACATCTGTTTAAGAGGAAGCAATGAAAAGTGGAAGCACTATTGCATAATGTTTTTTTAATACACTCCTTTTTTAACACATCATACGTCCTGACTCCTGCAGCTGTGAAGTCAATGCAGGAAAAGACGACATACTAAGCATAGAAGGCTCTTTGTACATTGCACAACAAGCAACTAAGCAACAGCTGCATCTGCTTGTTGAACTGGCACAACATTAGTGTAGCCTGCACACCTGTCACTGAGCTAACGGCTGCCGCAAGGAAAACTGTGACCCCGTGCAAACTAGGAAGTGAACTCTCCGTGACTATAAGGAAACACGACTTCATGGTATACGCTTCATCACTCATCAGTATAAGTAAGCAAAATGCATGTTGATTTTAAAGGTCACCTATTATGCAAAATCCACTTTTTTATGTATTGTATACATAAACATGTGTCCCCTCTGTGTTAAGAGATTCTAAAAGTTTCAAGAAAAAAGAATCGCTCACTTTTTGTCCTGATCCATTTCTATAAAAACCTGTCTGGAAATGAGCTGATCAGATTTTGGCCACTTTATGATGTCATAACGATTTTTTGGCTTGTGTGACCATTAGCCAATCACCAACCAAGGTAACATCTCCTCCTAGAGCACCATTTTGTTATTTTTAACCAAATATCTCTGAGGGCCGTGGGGAGTGGCTCCTTATTTTCATCTAAAGTAACAGACAGAGAATCAGCACTTTTGAAACCGGGCTGAAACAGAGGGGTTTATGGGATGCTACAATGCATGATCTGTTTGGTATTTGGAGCCAAACACTTCAAAGACATGTTTTGTATATATCTGAGATCTATAATATATTGATGAAAAATAGTAGAGATGCTCCGATCGATCGGCCGCTGATCGATATCGGCCGATACTCACTCTCTGCCAATCGATCGGTGCTCTCTAAAAATGCCGATCGCGAGAGCCGATCGCATGACGTAAAATACATGACACTTTTCTCTGTACGCGGCAAAACAAGCTTGCCAAAATGGCTTCACCAGTCTGGCAGTATTTTAAGGTGTCCGAAAATCACAATAAAATAGTGGTATGCAACGTGTGTGTGAAGCAGAAATCCTGCAGCTCCACCCGCTGTGACGGACCGGTGAGCGGAGCAAAACATACACTAAGAGTTAGACCTAACACACTTAGCTATTTTATTTACCTCTGGAACAAGCTAAACTAGTTATAAATATATTTATTCTTCACTGTCGGGTAGGGCTGCTCAATTAATCGTATTTTAATCGCGATTACGATTATGGCTTGCAACGATTACGAAAACAACGTAATCGAAATAAAACGATTATTCTTTTATTATTATTATTTTTCTTTTTTTTTTTTTTTTTTTTTTTGAGTTTTTCAGTTGAATTATACTTAAAGTTCAGGGTAATCAACTGTTAAAAACATACTGTTCACATTTTTTTTCTCCAATAAATTGATGTTTTCAAAGTAAATGGATAATCGTTTTTAATAATCGTGATATCAATTATTGACCCAAATAATCGAGATTATGATTTTTGCCATAATCGAGCAGCCCTACTGTCGGGTCCCTCATTACTGGATCAGTGAGCTGCATGAGATACTGACAGGCTGTCAGGAGAGAGAGAGAGGGGGAGAGAGGAAAAGAGAGCGCTTCCGCTCATTTCTCCCGTGTTATTATCCAAAGTTAATGTAAACTGTAATAATGTACTTCATTTGAATGTAATAATTATGTTGGTTGTTGTTTGTGGAAGCGCCAGTGAATGGAAGATCCCCATAGGCCCCACTCGATCGGATCGGCGATCGGTATCGGCCGATACCGATTCCGGCTATCGGCCCCAAAATTGGCGATCGGAGCATCCCTAAAAAATAGTATAATAGGGGACCTTTAAACAAGCCATGTGAAATATACATATTTGGACGTTCTTGTTTCTGATCCCGTTTTGTAGAAAATAGTTATGGTTTGTTGTTAAACCTGGTTTTAAACAGTGTAGTAAATGTCACCAGTTACTAACAATGGGGAATGTTGATCTTCAGGGTCCTTTTTATTTAAGTGGTTTACAGGACTTATTGCCTCTTTTGATATAAATGAGAGTGCAGTGACAGAATGCATACTCAGAGGTTTCAGTGTCTTTGTTGTTACGTCCCCATCAACACTGTACTACAATCCAAGGAAAAAAAGAGATGACTGGTTGCTCTCTAGACTCAAGCGTATGTCAACGGTGTGTCAGTTACCCCTTGAAAACGGGGAATACTAATGCAAACTATAAGAACAAGTGAAAGAAGGACATATTTTAAAAGCCTATATTGTATTGGCTAAATCGTTAAGAAAGCCGTCATGTTTTGACTACTGTAGCTCTTCGTCAGGGCTAAAAATAAACAGACAACACGGGTGTGGCCTCACATATATCGTAACAATTACCAATGGGAGCCAAGGTAATCACATGACCCGGATAATCACACAACGTTGACATTTATTGAAAATAGCCTTGTGAAAACATGAAATAGGGAGTTGGTGGCCATATATAATTTTTGTTAAAGGCTGAGAAAAACAAGGAAGCCTTTACAGAGAAAAGAACATCTCCTTTTCTACCCTCATTGAGTCCAGTATACCAAACCACATCTAACAAGAATGTAGTGCCTGAATAATGAATATCTTATCTCCCTGGTCTTATAATTTCTGGTTTCGGAAACCCCTGTGCCTTACCACTTGCATACAGGGTTTTCCTGTGTGTCAAATCTTGTCATCACCTTCCTGAGTCACTTTGCTTCCATGATGTTATCTGTTTAACTGCTAAGCAATCACACTCCCAAAAAACAGTGTGCATTTTATCCTTTCACATTAACAACCCCGCTCTAGTAACAGGAGCACAGGCTGCTGGCTAGGCGGTTGGATTTCCTTTTTCTCCCAGCATGCCAACCTTCGTTCCACAGAGCATGACACATTATCTCAAATGATTTGGAGGCTCCGGAAATGCTTTGAGTCCA